TCAGCTGCTTTTAAAGTGGCTTTTCTGGAATGGTGGAAGCTGTTGCAGGCCCACAGGCACCTAGATGGTGGACTTGGAGAAGGACACACGCAGGTGGTGGTTCTCGCCCAGGTCATGGTTGTGCAGTTCAATTAGCGCCTGCACGGCCTCCTCCACAGAGCCCATCTGGATCAGGGCCATCTTTCGGTCCTTCCTGCAGGTAGGGTGAGTTGGGAGGAGTGGTCAGAGGGGGCTGGCTGGGGCAGGCAGCAGGCAGGTGGGGGACAGGGCTGTACTACTCACTGGAAGAACTTGAAGCCTTTGACCACACCACCGTTGCTGGAGAAGAGGTTCTTGAGGTCGTCTTCTGACACAGAGGGCCTACAGGGAGACAGAGGTGTCACCCGGGGGCCCTGGGAGTAGGGCACACAACAGGCAAACAGACTGGGAGCCTTCAGGGCTTACTAACAGGACAAGCTACCCTCTGGCTAACTCACGGGATATTGGAGAGGTGGAGAGTAGCTGAGGGTGGGAAGATGTTCTGGAAGTTCTTGGAGCCCGGCTTCTTGAAGCGGTGCAGTGGTGAGCTACCATAGTCCTTGGTGAGGCCCTGGTCCTCCTGTCCCTCCCGAGGCAGCTGCACACTCTGATGCTTTGACAGTGTGATGCGCACGGACTTCCCGTGTAGCTTGTGTCCATTCAGGTGGCTCATGGCTGGGCAAAGGATGGGAAACACATGAGCAACAGGCCCCATGCGCTCTGCTCCCAGCCCTAGGTGCAGCCAAAGCCCCCGTAAGCTGCGCCCTCCAATGGCTCTCACCCAGCTGGGCCTGGCTGCCGTCTGCCATCTGGACAAGGGCATTTTCTTTCTTGTTGAACAGAATCTTCACCCGCTGCACATCACCATAGACTCCTTTAAAACCCAGGGAGAAAGTCTGAGATACCTAGCCTCTTAACCTCTCCCACCCGCCCACTGCCCACCCCTTGCACCCAAGCTCCCAGCGGGCCAGGTTTGTTTAGTGGGCACCGGGAGGGAGCCTGTGTCTCACAGCCCAAGGCCTGCTAACGGGTACTGCGCTTGGCAGTCTCGGGACTCCATACAGCTGTCAGAACAGCCACGTTCACATGCTACTGACACGCTTAGCTCTGGAAGCATGCAGGGTGGTTGGTAACCATGCGTGTCTACTCAGTACAATCCGCAAACCGGAAGCAAACCACGGACCGAGGCAGAAGGCCAAACACAAACTCAATAGTACATAGCAGGGTGTAAAATAACCAAATAAATGAAACCAAGGTAATAAAAGTGAGAATAACATACCGAAGAGAATAAAGAGGCTTTGGGGTGTGACTCTCTTTAGAGACAGCAGAGGAAGGCAGCAGGGGACAGGGAGAGGGAGAGGTCAAGGGGGCGAGTGCCAATCGTCCACGAGGAAGACAGTCCCCGCAGGCGAGCAGGTTCATGATGATGAAGTTGTCAGGATGTTAATATTCAAGGGCAGGTTGGTTTCCGGAGAGCGGGTTTGAGAGGGGAGTTTGTTTTTATTGATTTATGTTTTGTTTGTTTCAAGCAACAACAGGAAGCAGAAGAACCGTGCAGTCAGTTGGCAAAGAAATTCCGGATCAGGCAAGAAAAAAAATTGGGAGGGGAGGGGAGGAAAGAAAAAAGTAGCAAAACACAGGTCAGTAAATACGTAGGAAAACAAGGCAGTGTTCCGCACGCCCACACACACACATTCATACGCATGTGCACACACACGTACACAATCACACATGTGAGGAGAAGCACTGCACACAGGCTTGAGGACCGTGGGCCAGCACTGCGGCTGAGACTAAAGACTGAGGCAAGGAGTGGAGCCTGTTAGTTTCCAGGTGGCAGGCGTGGCGCTCAGGAGTGAATTGGCTGGAGCAGGGCTGGCCTGGAGAGCCACAGGAGCTAAAGAGAGCAACCTGAGGCACTGCCATGCCGCATACAGCCGGTCCTGGAAAAGCAACACTGAGCCTCAAGGGCCACCTGAGCTCTATAGAGAGCTCCAGCCACAGACACAAACTGGCCGGTACTGGCCTGAGCCAGCTCCCTTCCAGGGATCACTCCCAGGCCTCCTTGCCATGTCCCAAATTAACTCAGACTGCCTCGTGCAGCAAGGAAAACACCCCGGCTCTGAGCACCGAGGGTCTGAGGGCCGGGGTGCGAATGGAGCTGAGAGGAAAACAGAAAACCTCAGAGCAGCTGGGAAGGAGTGGAGGCCAAGAGCAACAGACAGAGGGGCAGCACACCTGTGCCCACGGCGCCTGGGACACCCAGAGCCCCTGCCTGCCGTCCAGTGCACCCACCAGGACCTATAGTCAACCCACACCCCACCATTCCAGGTACAGGCAGAGCAAACCAACACCCACATACCTCAGGGTTCAGGTTGCTGACCAGAAGGACAGAATTTCCGGCACCTGCCAGGCCTGGAATGGCAATGCGGCCAGCTGCAGCAGCCGCAGCAGCAGAAGGTATGGCCAGGGGGGCCAACGCTCCATGGACATTAGGAACAGAGAGGCCTGCAAAGGAAGGTAGTGCAGATATGAGCCTGGATGGCTGTGTCAAGAGCGGGCAGGCACCCTCTTCTTGCACACAGCCACGAGGTGTCAACTGGCTGTGGCCTGCCCAGGAGGCCACACACATTGGCTGACACCACAGCCAGTCCAGTTGTGTTCAGACTGCATGCGCCCAACAGCACAAAAGCTCTGGTCGACACCGGCCCTCTGCAAGCAGGGCCTGCCACAGACACGCCCGGCTGTGCACGCATGCGGCGCCCATTCCTCCATGCAGGCTCGGGCGGCACGCGGAGGCTGAGGCCCATGCTCCTCAGCCCTGGAGGCCACTTGCTTACCAGGCCATTAAATTCAATCTACTAGGGACACTGCGTTCTCGTCCTCGCCCAAGGTGCTTGAAGGGAACCAGACCAAAGACTGAATGATTAGTGGCTTGTTGCTTTTTCCAACACAGGGCACCTGGCCCAGCCCTGCCTGAGACTACCCTGCCCTAGCTGCCTGTGGATGCTGCCAGAGGCCCCTTCCCCTCTCCCCGGAAGGGGGCCCGGGACCTCACACTTGGGGCCAGAGAGAGGCATCCCGGTCTCTGGGCAGCTCTGGGGTTGTGTGGGCATGCAGGCGCCGGGGTCAGGATGAGCATGAATACCTGCGGCCTGAGGGATGGCAAAGGTGGGAGGGAACCCGGCTCCTGCATACGGAGAGGCTGACATTATGCCGGGCGCACCTAGAAACAAACAGACACTAATCACTGCACCTCACCTCAAGGCTGGGCCGGACACGGGCAGGACTGAGGGGCTGGGCTGTGCAGTGCCAGGGCACTGGGGAGCCTGACAGAGCTAGGTGGCCTGTCCCACCCTGCTGACTTGGTGAATCTCAGTACAGCATCTCACCAAAGGCTGCAGCCATGGTCTGGTCCAGCGAAGGCTGGCTGTCCCCAGAGGGCAAGTCGGGGCGAGTGTAGTCCCTGCTCTTGTCATTGTTGTACTTGACATTAAGACTAGTGAGCTTGGAGAAGTCAATGCGCAACGTGCAGCAGGCGTTGTAGATGTTCTGGCCATCCAGCGACTAAGGGGGACACAGGTGATGAGTGCTGGCCAGGCATACATAGGATTGCCCACCCCCAGAAGCCCTACTCACCAGCTTGGCATGTTGGGCGCTCACAGGGTCGGCATACTGCAGCAGTGCCTGGAACTGGTTATTCTTGGTAAACGTGATGATCTTCAGAACTGTGCCAAACTTAGAAAAGATCTGCCAGAGAGAGACACGTGAGCTCCAGCTGCAGGCAGATGGGCACCCAACCACCTGCTGAAGGGAATGCATCCACCCACCTGGTGCAGAACATCCAGGGTCACTGGGTAGAAGAGATTTTCAACAATGATCCTGAGCACTGGGCTCTGGCCTGCCATTGCCATCCCCGCATCCACAGCAGCGGCAGAGGCTGCCAAGGCCAGGTTTCCGGACTGCACAGAGTTCACAGCCTGCAGGGCTGCCTGGGCACGCTGTGGAGGAAGCACCATGAGCTGCAATCCAGGGCTGAGACAGGGACCCAGGCCACTCACCCACCTGCCTGCCCTGAAGACGCACTGCCTGGTTGGGTGAGCTGTCAGTTTTGAGCTCCTTGTGGTTGGAGAACTGGATGTAGATGGGCTGTCCACGCAGCACGGGTGCCACTGACGTATAGTAGTTGACCATAGTGTTGGCAGCCTCCTCTGTGTTCATTTCAATGAAGGCCTGGTTTTTCCCCTTCAGCATAAGGAGGTTGGTGACCTTCCCAAAGGGCAGCCCCAGAGAGATAACCTCGCCCTCAGTGACATCACTGGGCAGCTTGCGGACATGGATGACTCTGGAAGGGACCCCTGTGCTCCTGTTGTCACCTTTAAACTTCTTGCTATCATTTCCATTGGCTGAAAAAGGGATGGGAGGGATGGGGTGCATTTGTGAGGCTGAAAGCCCCTTTCTTGCCTTTGGTCAGATCCTGCCCACCCCCCCCAGCTCCCAAGAAGCCATGCCTCCCTAGGGCCAAGTACAGCCTAGGTATTCTCACCTGCAGAAGTCGAGCTGCTCATGATGAAGGGGCCGTTGCTGACACACGTGGAGAAGAGCTCGTCGGATCCCCGCTGGGAAGAGAACATTGACCCTCAGCTCCAGGCTGATCCCTCCTTTCCTACCTTCCACACCGCAGCCCCCAGGGAAATGCTCAGCACCCCATGCCTGCTACAGCTTCCCGCAGCCTTCACTGGTCACTGGGGCGCTGTGCCAGCAGCCATGTGGGAGGGCCCTGCCTGGTGGGTCATCTGCCCAAAGTGCACAGCTGCCAGCCTTATGGTACCCTCCTGGCAGAGCTGCTGGCAGCTTCTGGAGACACAAAACCCAGCCCTGCTGTCCTGGCTACAATCCAGGACGAGGCACTGTGGCTGGACCCAGTGGGTGGGACCATCCCCAGGCAGCCACTCCCTGGGGAACCCCCAAGCTGACCCCACAGTGGGGACCCTTCCTTGCCAGAAATTAGTTTGGCTGAGTCACCCCTGGGAAGAAACCACAGACCTAGGTTCAGGACAGCAAGAGACAGCCTAAGACCCAGAATGAGCCTCAGAGCACACCATGGGGCAGAACATCCTGGCTATCTACACCTAGCCAGCCAGAGATCCTGATGCTAAATACCCAGAGGTTCAAGACCACCACCTTTTCCATGTCTTGTTTCATCTTCATTCAACAAGGAGCAGCCTAACAATATACCCGGGAGACCCCACACACCCACCCTCCCTGCCCAAGCCAATATCAAGGGCCTTCATCCTTCAATACCTTAACTGATCCTGACAATGAAGGCTCAGAGCATCCATTGTGAGCATACAGGTCTAGAGACCAGAGGCCAGCACCTGCCATTCTCATCCCTCTCCCTAGGTGGAAAGGGGAATCCCTGAAGCTTACACCATAAACTGTGGCCACACTAATATCTCAGGAGCAAGGGCTGCAGTGGAATTGGACCTGCCCAGCCTGGGAGGCAAGACCCTGACATGCAAAGCCCAGAACCTCATGTTCACATGTGAGCTGCAGGAAGTCACTTCCTGTTGGCAGCCAATCTCCCATGAGGTCCCACAGGCTGACCCCAGTGGGAGGGTGGCTTCCGTCTGGGCTGGGCGGGAGGAGCAGTACTTCCTGCAGCTCTGCTCCTGGCAGCCTGCCGCAGAGCCCTAACAGTCTCCCCACAGAGGCTCAGGAGCCCATGACTGTCAGAGGAATAAAGTCCAGCCACCTGGGCCAACAGCCCCAAGCTGCTGGGCAGAAAAGGCACAAGATACTGGTCACTGGTCAGCCTAGGCTGCCTGAAGGCTTGTCATGGTTACTGTCACAATTTGTTAAGTCTCTTTCTCCACCCAGAGCTCCCTGCTCCTCCTAACTTGCCCAGTATGGCCCGTGGCTAGTGTGCATTCAAGTAGCCATGAGGCAATGAAGCTCAGCACCACCTTCACCCAGACACCCTGTCACCTGCAGGCCTGGGCCTACATGGGGCTCCCCTCCCTCCACCCCAGAGCACAGGTTTATCTGAAGATCAGCAGGCAGGTGGAGACAGAGTCCACTCAGGAAAGAATGAAACTAGTCCAGACAGCAGCCTGGTAGCAAATCAGCTGGCAGCGGCTGAGGAGGCCCCCAGGGCCTTACCTGCAGGGCCTTTTGAGGGGAGGAAGCTGCCTGCCACCCACTACAGCTTAACAGGCAAGTCTAAATAGCTCACCCATCAGATCTTCACCTAGGAACACACCACAGACTTCCAAACCAAACCCACATGGACAACACCAAGTATGTACCCAGAGACCCAAACCCACTACTTAGTTAAAGGCCGAAGGGTACAAGACAAAATGAGCCAGAAAGAGGCCAGCAGAGAGCTGAGCCACCAGACCCAGAAAAGGGTACCAGGCCTCCATGTCCCCTGGGTGGCACGTGTGTGGACCTGGGCCACCTGTTACCCTGTCTTTGTAGACTGGACTGGGGACAGGACACCCTGTAGCAAGCACAATCTAGCTTTGACTACAACAGGGCTGGGTATAACGCCAAGCAAGAGATACCTACCTTTGTACCGACTGCTATGTCTGGGACGATGCTGTGGAGAGAAAGAGAGACGTCAGCATTGTGGAGCCTGGAAGGCCCTCTGCCAGTCCAGCTCGGAAGGAAGGGCAGGGAAGTGAGCCACCCATTGAGTCTCAATTTGAAAGGAGGCCATCATTGTCCTGGGAGCCCCTCCCTCCTTCCACACAGGACCCTGGTCCTGCCTTTGAACACTATAAGAGGTCTACTTTCTACAAAGCCTACTAGTTATCCGGGCCTGCTACAACTCCTGGACATCCTGCAATGCTGGGAGTCTGGGAAGCCGGTAAAGGCAGCAGCCATGGGCAGTGCTTCCTCAGTGGGGGTGGGGAGCTCCAAGACCAGGCCTCGTTACCATTTACAAACCAACTGAGCTGCCCAGATACACCCTGGGTTACTGATCAACCCCAGCCTCTCGTGACTGCACCCTGCCTCTCCTGCTGCACCTAGCGTGCAGCAAGCCTGCCATGGCTGGCCAGGTTCCCAAGTGACTCCAAGAGTCCTGCCTAGGGAAGTGGTGGCTGGCTGTGTGACAATGACCCTTGGTGGGCAGCTCTGTCTTCCAAAATCCTTTCTTTCCGGGGCAGGTTCTCTAGAAAACTCTGGCTGTCCTGGAACTCAAAGCGATATTATCTGCCTGTTTCAGCCATTATTCTAAGTGCAGACTACCACACTCGGCTCAAAGAAACCTTAAGAAGCTGCTAAAAGGCTGCATCTTTGGACTCTCGCCTGTCACCTCAGCGCTCGCAAGGCCAAGGCAACAAGTCCGCAATAGGTACAAGGCTTGAGGCTAGGCCAAAGTATTTCATAGGACCGATTCTTTAAAAAAAAAAAAAAAAAAAAAAAGAGAGAGAAACGCTGCTACTAAGTGTGGTGACTCACAGCACTAGGGAGGCTACGGTGGGAGCATCAGGAATTCAAGGTCAGTCTGTCTCCAAGAACTCCAACAAGTTAAGAAAAAAAGTCGGTGACTAGTGACGCAGGCCTTCAGCCCCAGCAGTCGCGAGTCACAGGCAGGCGGACCTTTGGGTCTGAGGTGAGCCGGGGGCACCGGGAGACCCTGTCTCCAAAACAAACGCCAAACTCCAAACAAAAAGTTGCCGAGTGGAGTGGCAGCTCCCGGAAGCGTGCAGGAGGCCCGGATGCCAGGGC